TGGTAAAGGTCATCCTTTTTCCTTTTTTGAACAAATAAACTCTAGCTTTTTATATTCTATTACTCTTTTCTTTTTGGCATTAAAAACCATTAAACATCAATATGAAAAAGAATTGAAATTTTAATATAAGAAATCTTAAAGTCAAAACCTTTTTCTTAAACTATTGCAAGTAAAACTTGGGTATTCAATATGGAAATTAGGGAGCATATATTCTACAAAATGTGCATTACATGAGATATATTTTTATACACACCATGATAAAACCATGTTTTTGCTTATATTCAAAGAACATCAGAAGAAATAAATTAAAAATTAATCCAGAGAAGGTTAATCAACCCCACTCCCCCAAGGAGAAAAAATATCCAATTGATGGCATGAAGAATATGCTACATACTTGCAAGTAGAATGTGTTGAAGTCATTATAGCCATCCCTGCAAAAAATAAGTATGTCAACATCCATGACATACATACAACTCTATAAAGAACCAATAAAGAGTAAGAAGGTTCTAGAAATCATACGCGGTTCTAGAAATCATAAGCTAGACAGCATAGATCAAATTATTGACCATAAGTCATGACTAAAACCAATGAAAACTGAACACCACATCTACCATTCTTCACAATATAATACAGGCAAAGGAAAATGTGATGTCAAATTAATTTAAAGTTATGCTGACTAGACAAATATGCAACCACAAGATAATCACCTACAATTGAAAGCGGCATGTGCGGTGCACATGTAATTCCTATATTGCATGAATCACCAGGTATAAAGTATTAGCTGGATGATTACAAAAAACAAAATAGAGAGGGAACTAGCCTTCAATTAGTAGAAGATGCCAAATGAAGATATGAACAAAATCAATCTGAACATCAATGTTAATCAGAGTCATTGACAACTGTATTTGAGACATTGCATCACAAGATGATAACACAGCCAGCACCTTAAAAGCAAAACCCGATTTTGGAACCTCAAAAATCTGTAATGCTGATGAAAATATGTCAAACTATTATTGTAATTGAGATTAGAGACACAAGGCCAAAATTGAAAATCATACCAGAAAACCAGTTTAATAGGACAAAAGCATGCAGTCATCAAAGGGTTTTGCTAATGTTTGTTAAAGCAACATTGATGCTATATCCATTCAGGAAGTAGATGATTCAAAAGAAAAACATTAACAAAACTACCACATACTTTTTATACTGAGGAGCATCTCTATCCAAACGAGCAAGAGTACCAGCCAATATGGAAACCTACAAATTTTTATTCAAATAGCATTACATAGTGAGACATCACTCATGAACAATAACTGGTATCCATCAGAAAAACCATGAATTTCTCAAATGCCAAGTTAAAAGACTCCTTCATTAATGGATTTTTTCTTTTTTTGGAAAATCCTTCAATAAATGGAATTAAACATAAAACTAAACATCATTTCATGATGTTAATAAATAAAAGTTAGAAAATGAACAGAATTAAAACAAAGATTACTAATGTTATTCAATTACCTTCTCTCCACTATCATTACCAACAACCCTGATTTCTAACCCAACACATGCAGCCTCTGGGGCAAGTGGAATCTCCTCATAGTCTAAAAACTGAACGGCATCAGGATTGTAACCAAAGAAGCCAAAATCATGAACCTAGTGAAGAATAACATAATTCAGTTAGTTCCATATATACATAGCAGAACCAACTGTATGACAGGTTCTGTCACAAGAGCAAGGAGAAAATTCAACTTAAATGTAAGGCATATGATGCGCCCAATGATCTAATACAACCCAAGTTGGGTAGTTTCAAGCAGTATAGGCTCATGAATCAAGCCTTCGTTGGACAACAACCAAAGTCATGCACATTGAAAATAGTACATTTCAAAAGTCAAGTCCTAAAATCCTAGAGTAGAATAATGAACTAAATTACAATTTAGACTAAGATAAATCACCAACCAAACAATATACTAAATGAAAAAGGGTTCACTCACCGGATCTCTATATATAGGATGCACAGTAATTTCTTCTCGATTTACAAACATTGCTTCGGCAACAACAGGTCCTAAAAACAGACAAGACAAAAATTAGTTCTTCTCGATTTATTAACATCATTTCCAATTTTTTAGAGACTGAAACAACAAAAATAAACAACACTTCATTTCGCTATTGCTTTTTCCATGTATTAACTTCCTTCTTCTTCTTCAAAAGTTGCACAAAAGTAAAATCGATAGTAAAAAAAAATCATAGTTGATTAAAATCGAGCATATAGCTAAAATGCAAGTCACATTCAAACATAATTGATCCATACAATAGTAAAATCATCCATTTTATTACTCATAAAATTAAATTTGTATTTTTTTTTTCAATTATTCATAACTAACGAAGGTTTTTTTTCTACTTATTTTGAGAAGGAAAGTGTAAAAGTAGCAAAAGCATCGAGCAAAACCAATAAAAAAGCAATAATTGTTCACGAAGTCAACCTGGTTTGACCACATGCCGATTAGTGAGAATAATTCCTCTTCGCTTATCAACGACAAAACCAGTAGCAGAACCAGCACCGGCAGGCTCCGTATCAAAAGCACGGCAAGCAGTAATACGGAGGACGACGACAGCAGGAACAACTTTATTGAGAGCCTTCCGCCAATCCTCAGCAGTGGCGACGCTCTCTTTGAACGGCGGATCGATCTCCATACAAAGCTCTTCTTTGATCGTTGATTCTAATTCCATCTCTGTCTCCAATCCTAACCTCTCCAATGGATCTCCCATTCAAAGTTACTTCGAAATTCAGAGAAGGATAAGATAAAAAGTTTTTTTTTTTTTTTTGGGTGCGTGTGTGAGGTCTTCGTAAGTCAAATTCTTGAAAGGTGCTGGTTTTTATTTTGGCTTTTTTTCGTCTTTACTGGGTTGCTTCGTGGGAAAGGACCTGCGAGAAAAACAGTAGTTTCAATTAAAGAAAGCGCAAGTGTGCAATTACAACGCTGGACGTTGGACCTCTCTTTTGGCATTTTATGGTTCGGTTCACTACCATTTTTCTCCCCTATAAGGTACGTTTGGCACTACAGATTTTTTTTATTGGGGGCTATTTGTCGCTACTGATTATTACAATTATTATAATATAATTAATTAATTAAAAATCAGAATTGTATAAAGTTTTTAAAATATTATTTAAAATTTATATTTTAAATAATCAATTTTTATAAACTTTTTATAAAAAATTATAAATAAAATACTTGTTATAACAGAAGTATGATTCAAAAACTTTTATAATTTTTTTTTTTGGAGTTAGGTTAACTTTTGTATTTGTTTTTCGCTTTTGAAAATGCTCATGTGGTAAAATATTATTGGACGAGCTTATATATGACGTGGTAAGAAGTCTACCTAGTACGTTTTCATAATCAATGTGGCTAATTTATGTTCTTCCTACAAAAGGTATATATTTAATGTGAAAGATTAAATTGACAACCAAAGGAAAAACAATTATGGAAAGAACATGAAGTCCTGCCATAATTGAGAGGAATGTTTAGGAGAACTTTTATAATTGTTATATTAATTACTTGAATAAATTTATTAATATTATTTCATATATATATGTGCCTTTGGATTCCTCAAGAATGAAAGAAAATAAATATAAAAATCCAAATAGGTATATTAGTTTCTCAATAGAAGAAATTGTCTTTATTTTTTTTCATTACAAGAACAAAGTTTTTACCGACAAAAATTTTTTCCACCGACGGAAGCTTGATTTTCATCAAAAATATCAATTTTACGATTATAAATTTTTTATATAATCCTTCGACATTGAGAGAGGTATTTTTTTCTTTTTTTTTTTTTTCGGAATGTTTTAGTTATTTTGATGGATTGAATGTTAGTAAAAATTTAGCTTTGATAATTCTCTCATTTGATTAAATATAAGTTTTATTTTGTCTTACCTAACTTATCATTTAGAGAATTGTTTTTGTATACTATTCATTATGGTTGCTACATACAATGTCAAGCCAAATTTGTTGGATATTATCCAATGCCTCGTTTAATAGTGAATTTTTTTTAATTTTATAAACAAATATCCATTTAAGTGTAAAGGGAAAAAACATGTTGAGTGTGAGATACATTATATGATATATTATTGCTTCATCCATAGCAAAATTAAAGCATATATTCAGCTGTTGTTGATATTTTATATATTAGCAAAAAAATTGGTAATCTTAATATTGATTTTATATGATATGATCTTTTCTAGGTTTTTGGCCATTCTGATCTGCGTAAATATAAAAAGGTATGATTTTAGAATTAAATTAGTTTTTTTATTATAATTACGTAAATTAATCAATAATATTTAATATTGGGATGTTTATTTAAATTTTATAAGAATCATTCACTGAACTAAAAATACAAGATTTGAAGCAGTTGAAAAATATTGATATTGTGAATGTAACTAATATAAATTTTATGTTACTATATGAAAAAAAAATAATACATAAATATCATATGAATAAGAAAATAATATGTTTTAAAAAAAGTTTAGATAATATTTTGAATCATATTTCTAAGTGCGATGAGATTTTTTTTTTAATTATGAATTAATATTGGATTTAAATTTAAGACCTTTTCTTTTAGAGTCGATTTCAATATGACTGAATTAACAGTGGAATGAATAAAAGATTTTTAACAATTGTCGTCGAAATAAATGGTATCTTTTATCTATCAATCAAACTACCATATTAGACACTCCGTATGAAAATCTGTATGCAAATTAATAAAGTGTTATCAATTCAATTTAGTTATTTTTTTTGACAAATATCCAATAAAATCAATGAATATATCCCAAGATTTTTTTTCCTTGGAAACTTGCGTGGGGAAGAATTAAGTTTTCATATCAAAAGCATGCAAAAAACAAACTACCGAGAATGCAGCTAGCATGAATATGTAATTTGTTTCGATATTTCTTTCCTTTTTTGCTTTTCCATTGTTAATATCTTCTTGACTTAGGAACAGGCTGCAAAGCGAAAACCATGAAGGTGGTGGTGGAGATTTTGACAGGAAACCTCTTCTACATTCAAGTTGGCAATGATGCCACGGTCGGTGACCTGAAGAAAGAGATCGAAGCCCAGGAAAATTTACCCCGTGATCGTATGATCATGATTGTTGATCATGAAAATCAAAATCACCTTATAACTGAAGAAGATGGAGCTTCTCTCGTTGGCTGCGGAGTGCAAGATGGATCTCACATCTATCTCTTCTTTAATCTCCTCGAAGCCGAATCACCTTATCATCATGTTTTCACCTTGCCCGAGTCCCTCTTGTGGTAGGAATTTAGGCCCTGCATAACATGGCAAATTTATAAAATCGGTTAGCCATAGGCCTCTGAGTTGATAATTTATCCTTTTCATTTGTTTGTGGTATTTTTTTCTTATATGTATTTGAAGATATTTAGGCTACAGTTTAATTTAATGGAAATTTCTGATTTAATCTTAATTGTTGTTTTGCCCTTGATTTTTGATTAGATGCGATAAAAGGCAGCACCAATATTCAATACAAACCAACAAAGCATGTTTTGGCTAATGAAGAATCCTAAAGCTTTTCCTTTAAATTAGATCTAATAATTTGTATATTCATATTATGTTTATTTTATATCAAACACATATAAAAATATAAAATTATCATATCAAATTAATATTAATACGGGAAACATGAATTTTTTTTTATTATTTTGTTCATATTCATATACAGCTTCTATTTAAATTTTAAACTATTTTACTTTCATTTTTTTAATTGTATCAACCTATCGTATTTAAAATTACAAGCTCTAACTTAAATGCCTCCATCCATCACTCTGTTTAGCCGTCGGGGTGAATTTCAAAAAAATAGAGTACACTTCAATACCATTTCCCATTCTGCTCCTATGGATACTATTCCATTTTTCCTATATTTCATTTTGACTAACCGAACAGAGGGAAAAAAAAATAAAAAGAAGAAAAAGGAGCTTTTCCTATGTATATATATATCTCAACCGTAGGACGAATTCACTGATTGCAGAGAAACATACTAACAAGATATATATATATATATATATGTATGTATGTATGTGTGTATATATGTGTATATATGTGTTGTGAGCACAAATCCCCCGCTGTTGGTGCATGCCCATAGTAATCCTGACCTTCATTCAAAAGCACTATTGGATCCTGAGGCCGTCGCTGCCATACAATCTTTGGAGGTACCAAGTCATTAACCTTTGCCTTCCCCCAAAATGGGCTCCACTCCAACTCTCATATCTAAATACTCCACAAAGGGTAGCCCGATGGCCAATGGCCCAACATGAACTACAGAACAGTATCTACAACATAGCAGCTTCTTAACACCAGATCTGTGTCTCCCATGCCCTCAAGGTGCCATTTGCTATCACCCTTAAGTCATCATGTGACAAAGACTATTCCGCTGACATCACCATAAAATTCACCCACAGTAAATGAACCAGAGTTCAAATTTTCGTCAGTTAGATCAGCCCCTGCTTGCAAGCATAGCTCCACAATTGCAGGAACATGTTTGAAATCAAATCTTTGCTATTGTTTGATAACACCTTGAAACATGTTGTGCAGATGAAATGCTTCTACAGGAACAAGCATATCATTCAAACTAACATGGCATTCATGAACCCGATCTTTCCAATGCGCTTGTATCCACAGCAAGTTTGAATTAAATGACCTTTCTCACCAATGTTTACTTCTGGACAGAACCTGCAAAGATTTATATCAAAGGTTTTTTTAGTAATTTTGACTGAAAAGAGGCTGTAGTAATGCAGTAAAATTAGAGAAATTTTCTTCAAGGAAACAAAGGTTTCCTCTCCACTCTCATCTATCATGAAAAGTTGTGGACTCCACCAAATGCAAAATTAGAGAGAGGTATTTGACTTGTTAATCGCACTATAAAGTTGCTATTTTCTTCTGTTCTAAATGCATGTTCTATTTTTCTTAAATTGTGAGTGGTAGCATCATGCAAATGAATCTATTGATCCACCGACTAAAATAAACAAATTTTTGTCCTGCGACTTGCACTAAATTTGGATCCAGTCCAACTTCTAGGACAATATTATTGCAGTGAGGGTTGCTTTGTAGTTTGTAGATTAAACAAACTCTACCAATTTGCATAAAATACTTCCCTACAAGCATTTGGAGATCATATACATACAGAGCAAGCAAAACAGGAAATATCAACATTAGGGGCAGTTAAAACGAGTCAGGTTCTGCTGTCTTCACAATAATGTACCTTAAAATGGTGCAGGCATTCTACAAGGTCCAAATTGGAGTCAGGGCTGCACTTCCATTACCTTAGGGAAAACAATGCATGATTTTACTCTCAGCAAATCAGAGGGAAATAAGGTTTCTATGATTGCATCCTCTTGAGGAAAGCACTATACTGGCAAGAGGAATGTCATAATTCATATTGATACTACGCTAGCATTTAAACACTAATCTACGCATAAACTTTTCCTAATCATTTACTTGAATATTCAATGTATTTGCAGCTTGGGTCTCTCCACCAACATATTAGGAGTGTACTTCTGAAACAAGTTTTTCGAGTTTATCAATAACTAGTGAAATTTCAAAACTAGTTATCACTTTGTCAGCCTAACTAGAGGTCCTTGATTCACGTGTTATAGCAGTTAAGTCTAGCACAAATTAAATTTATTTCATATATGTAAAGATGAGGCAAAATTGGATTGAGGTGTATTCAAATAGAGGAAAAGAGGGAGGGACTTACTTGCAGGCAAGGACTGGGAAATAGTTTGAGAAGGTTGGAGACTTCTTGGAAGAGGAGTTCTCTGGCCTTGAGAACCTCTTGAGCCACTGGAATTATTCCATGCTCCAGATAATCCTTCGCTTGATTCTATATTCTCGAGTATCATCGGCCTCAGCTTCTTCAGATCCACCTTCAAGCTGTATGATGTCCAGTGACCCCTGAATGCCATTGGCATAGATCCTGCTAAAAGACATTGCATTGCATCAAACACCTTGCAAACAGTACAAATAACAAATAGCAGCATCTTCAGCATACCATTTGATGCCCTTCGAAACTGACAACAGTTAGACCTAACATCAAACATAATCAGTTAAAATTCCAGATTGTATGAACTGATTTTGGAGAACCATGCAAGATATTTTAAGAAAAAATTAAAACTAGAATTGGAATTTTAAAATGAACTAACATAGATGAGCATAAAGCAAAGTGAATAAATTTGATAATCCCAAAAAAAGCTCATGAGAAGCAAACTAACTAATAAAATTCACTCACAATTTCACAAAATCCTCGAATTCAATAGAAAGCATTTGAAACCAAAAACTTTAAAACGTATCATATATCAATATTCAGCCAAAATACTTCCCAATTTCATCAACTTTTAATTACAATTTACAAGACTTAGCAGTTAAACCTGAATCCATGCTGATGAAAAGAATCAAAGAAAAAAATTATAGCAGCAAAATCAAAAGCAACCCACTAATTCACAATTGAGCAAGTAACCCACTAATTCACAATTGAGCAAGTAACCCACATCAATAATAAAAAATCAGCATAAAATATTAAATTTTCTCACACATTTTTGTCAAAAAGGAACATTTTGACAAAAAAATGAAAACTCATATTCAATATCTACATTTAAAAACAAATGAAACTCAATTTATCAACAATGAGGTAAAGTAAAATGAAGAACAGTTCTACTTATTGGAAAGGAATGCAAGTAACTTTAGTTGCAAATTATGATGAAACTCAATGTTGAAACACAAAATCACAAATTTTATATCTAGCAGACAACTGGGTTATCAGAGCTTATTACGAGTTTGAGTCTTGTGTTTTATGGGTGTCGGGTTTTCAAGGTCTCATGTATGGTAACGTATGTTTTCGTGTGTAGCGAGGAAGATAATTTATTTCGGTGGCTTAGATTTTGAAATTTTAAAAATTAAATTAATTGATTTTATTTGAAATAATCAATCAAATTAAATCATGTAAAAATCATTTTATATTTATATTTTATGTTTTGTATTATGGATATATTTGGTACATAAGATTATGATAAAATAGAATAAGATGATATTATGAATAAAATTAGATTAAATAATATAATCTTATCTTGTATTTAATGTGTATAAGTATTAGAATATGATAATTTATTTATTACTCAAAATTATCCTTATTCAAATTTTATATAATTTAAATTATTGATGTAATTTTTAAAATATAATAGAAAATATAAATTTAATCTTATGGATTAAAAATAATCTCATCCACTTTGAGAGGATTGAATCATCCTATACCAAGATGATAATTAATTTTTCTTATAATTATATCCCTTTCTTTAGAAATAAATCAAACATAATATAAAATTATTATTATCTTATCCTTTTTATCATTTTATATGCTAAATATGGCCTACATTTAATAAAATATGATATATTATATATGATTTTAAAATATTATATAAATTTTATTGTATTTATATATATAAATATTTTTAAAAAATAATAGAAAATTATTAATTTAAAAAAATTAAAATGAGAGAAAATTTATTCATTTCAAAATCAAGACAAACTGTAACCTCAAATATTGGAATTGGATGAAAAAAAAAATTTAATAATATGGATTTAGTGATTATATTGACCTTTTGCATTTATAGTTATTACTGCATTTGAAGAATTAAGATTGGATGATCAATTTCAGATTTATTTGAATTAGTGGCACAATATATATTATTGAATCAAATTCTCAACTTATTAAATCAGATCTTTTGAATCTAGCTAGCTATTGTACATTTTGAACATATAAGTGCAACCTTGAGCACAATTTCTCAATTTTTTATTGAACAATGTCCATGACAAGAAGTTATCAGTATTCCAAAAAAGATATCAGATTATTTTTATTGGACGATTTGATTAGTAAATTTTTAGATTTTTGGTAGGAAAAATGATTAAGAAAAAATGTAATATTAAAGGAGAATATGTGATTCTTAAGTTTTATTGGTCTTAAAGAGTGTAAGATTTTTGTATTTGATTAAAGAATGTAAGATTACTTAGTAAAATTTTTTACTATATTATCTTTAATGAAATGTGAATAATGTGTGACATTCATAATACGTGACACGTGAATAACAAGTAACATTCATAATATTTAAAACACGTGAATAAACATGTAATTTATTTTAAATTTTTATTTATTTAACATATAAATTATTTATTTAACATTTTTGTTGAATTATTTAAATAAATTTATTTTAAGTTTTAATGGGCATACAATATATGTAATAATAAATTTTATCATAATATATATATATATATATATTACTTTCAACAAAGATCACATTTTTAATATTATAAAATGTCTTCATTGTTGAAATTTAAGAATTCTAAAAATTTTTTTTATATATTTTCAATAGAAATTACATTTGTTCTTTTTGTTAACTTATGGAAAATAATTTTTTTTCACATTTTTAATAAAGATCGCGTTTTTAATCTTATAAGCATGATCTTTATTGAAATTTAAGAAATCTGAAAAATATTCTTATGTTCAACAAAGCCGTATTTTTATGTTAAAAAATGTCATTTTTGTTAAATTATGAAAAATAAATTATTTTCATATTTTTAACAAAGATTGTGATTTTATCTTAAAAACATTATTTTTATTAAATCATAAAAAATAAAAGTTTTTCATATTTTTAACAAAAATTATATTTTTATCTTAAAAACATCATCTTTATTAAATTTTAAAGATTAAATAAAAAGTAACATATTAAATTATTGCATTTTAAAAGTAAATAATGTTGTCTATATAATTTGAAAATACAATTAAAAAAGGATAAATGAGTAAAATTTTTACTTTCTATTTGGAATTTAAAAAACCCCTCATGGTGAAGAGAATTTTTATTCTCCTACTTCACCTTTTTTACATTGTTAAAAATTTTAAAAAATCTAAAAAATTACATTTCATAACTAAACTAAAGAATTAGACTACAAAAAATAAGATTCTAACTAGAAATTTTACTTTCCTCAGTACTAAATGCCTCTTAATACTTGAAAAGACTTTCCAAATGCCATCTATAAAAGGGAAAATTAAAATCCATTCAACCTAATAACAGAAGAGGAGAAATAGCTAGCTAGATTAGATGATCGATACTTTAAGAAAGCCAATGGCTTGCTATAATTGTGAAGCTAGGGTTAAAAAAATGGAAAATATATTAAATATTTTTATTAGATTATAATTAGATTTTGAATAAAAAATTAAAAAAATTGAAAATATCTTAACCGAATTGAATTATATATAATTGTTAACTTTATATTTTTTAACATTTTTATAAAAATAAAATAATCATTTTATATTTAAATCTACTTAAATATATTAGATCAAAATTTTAAAAATTAAATTTTAAAATCTGATGAACCAATCAAACCCAAACTAATAAAATTTAGTTCGTATCAAATCAATTCAAATCAGATCAATTTCAAAAAAAATTAATTCAAATTCAAATCAATTTTGAAAATTCATAATACTATTTTAGTTTATTAACAGTCATGTGGTTTGTTGTTATAGTATTGCATTTTTTATTTTAATGATCATAGATTAATCCCTAGTAACTTTAGATCAGAAAACAATGTTTTATTCAATAATTAAACTATAAAATAAGAAAGTGTTTAATAGCCAACTAGAAAAATTAGTCCGGTTACATTCGAGTTACGAATTTTTTATTTTTAAAATTTAAAATTTTTAATAATAAGTATTTATAGATTTTGTTCATAATTTTAAATTTTATTTTTTTTCAAAATATTATAATTGATTAATTGAGTATTTATCATTTTTCTCTTAATTTTTAAATTATGCCATACATATTTATATTATTTTATATAATCAATTGAGCTAAGCTGACATTCAATTCACTATATTTGGGATCATATTTTTTTAATTTTAAAATAACATTGTTTATTTTTTTTATTTATGCTTAATGATAATTATGTGTATCGATATTATTTAAAGATATAATTTTTGGATATTTTCAATTAAAAAATAATTGATTGAAAATTATCACATTATCTCAAATTTCTTTAAAATTAATTATTTTTATTTTTTTTTTTTAAAAATTAATATTTGATATATATTCAATATAAATTTTTAATTTCACTAACGTTTTTTCTATTTTCAAAAAATTTTTTACTAATAAAAACTAATAAATTAAAAACTTTCTTTCCTCTTCCATTTTCATCTTTACTAATAAATAATGAATCAAGAACGACTAATTTGTGTTTATTATATAGTCACAAAAGACAAATGAGCACTCACTAAAAGTTACCCAAGTTGGCAGATCCTTATGATAAATGAGTGCTAGGTTGGTTCGCGCGTGCCCATATTAATGTACTGCTTTTTTTTTTTTCAAGGGGTCTTCCATTTGGGTAAGTTGATAATAAAGTAGAAAATTCTGTAATTTACTCTAAAATTTAATCAGTGATGGAGTTTAATAAAAAAAAAATAGTAATATATAAAAATATTATTAAAAATATTATTTATAATTTAAATTTGATTAATTTTATTTAATAGTAAAAAAATTATCAAAATTTTTAATAAAAATATTTATTAAAGTTTATTAATTATTTTTAAAATTTACATAATTAATCTATGTAATAAAATCTTTAAATTTATTAATTTGATATTTTATTTAAATTTTTATTTAATTAATTTTAATAAAAATTTTCATTAATTTCACTTAAAAAAACTCTTTTCTAAATATTTTCCTCGATCGTATAGTTTCCATGTACTTTATAAAAATTATCAAATACATTGTATAATTTTTTAAGTTTACAAATTGAATCAACAAAATAATACATATTTTTTAAGATATATTTAAAAAATTAAAAAATGAAATATATATCAAAATATTAATTTTTTTACAAAATTAAAAAATTTTACTGATAATTTATCAAATAATTTCTTATTCTTTTTAAAGCAAGATATACAAGAGAACTCAGCCTCTCCTTTTTCCAGGAAGTTTCTCAATTCGATTTTAGTACATATGGTGTTTATAATTCAATCCTTGTTGTGGATCCATTGATTGAACCATTGACGGTTTTGGTGGTGAATTTCCTCATTCGAACTGTAGTGGGAAAAAAATGTGAGGACCGTAAAAGACAACTTGTATCAAAGCAGGAAAATTGCCTCCACTTTGTATTGGGAAATTCCCAACCATTTAACTTGTCCTCCATTAGGAAATGGGACAACAATAGTTTCATACAAAAAATTTCAGCAAGCAATGAGTAATAATTGACGCTCTGAAAGGAGGCAAATATCAATTCAACAAACACCGGATTGGTGCCGACTGGACGGCTGATCCCCATCTTTTCTTCGATTGAAAGCAGCCCTATCGCCAATGAGAATTCAGAGTCAGTTTGGTAGGCTTGATGAATCGATTTCAAGGTTAGCCTGCTAGTGTAGCTGACCTATAACAAAGCTATATTTCGTGTCCCATATGCCAACTTGAATTTTCTGTTAGGAAAAATGATGATAAAGATTGAAACACTCGTCCCAAAGAGACATTTCAACGGTAAAAACTTGAAGTTTGAATCCTGAAACCAGAAGGATTAAATTTACAGATTGAAAAGAAAGTCATCTAAATTTGCAATCATTTTTAAAAAATAATATTTAATAAATTTAGATTTTAAATCTTAATATTTGTTTTTTTTATTTCAGATTATGATATTCTTTATATAGACAAAAAAAAATTAATCTCTCCTGTTATCCAAAATACAGAAAAAAAAAATGTTGAAATTGTCCAAAGCTACAACGGGGAAAATTTCTATTTAACCAAACTTAGACCATATCTACCTAACTTACACATCACTTGATATTTCTAAGCCATCCATGTTTCGCATACCAAGCTGAAATTTTCTGTCAACATTCCGGTATGTTGAAGTAGTTTGGTGACAAAGATATCAGTCAGATTTGGAACTCTCTTTCTCGTGTTCTGAATCGGTTTACTTCAATCAAATCCTCAACCATGAGGGCAAAGGAGAAAGGAAAAGCTCACTGATTGAATAACATTTCCTACAACAGTTTCTTTACATGCAAACTAGGAACTATATACATGCTTTCAACATCATATAATTTCCAGCTATAAGCATTTTTACCAGTCACCCGATACCGATACCACTACGACCGGCCTGGACTGGCATTTTCCACTATGTGTTATTTCATCTTTCCACAAAGGAAAATTTTGTGTAACAAACACCACAAGAAAAAGGGAAGGAAAGGGGAAAAGCAGAAAAGAAAAGCTCAAAACCATAAGCAATCATTTCAAGGAAACTTCAGAAGCACAACTATTGCTAATGGGCAAATCAGTTGGGGTGCAGACCCGAGCCCTTTGCTGTAAATGTCTCAAGCTCTGCTCCATACTAATTTGGACCATCTCAGCCAACATCTTCTTTGCTTTACTAGATTGATCATCTCCATCGATCTGAGATATTATGTTGCAAACAATGTTCTCTAGTGTGTCAGGCTGAAGCTCTGATCTGGGATATGGAGTCTCTCTCAGTAACCGCAAAAGGGTCTGAGCCTTTGTCTGAGACTTGGGTGTTCCTTGCACTGTTAGCTCAAGTAGTCCAGGAATTACACCTTCTCCAAGAATTGGTTCCCTATATTTACATCGGTCACTCTCACACATTGTCAGTAGTGCCCCAACAGCATGTTCCCTAGCTTGGAGAGAGCCATTTTCAAGCACTTCAACGACTGCTAATACTCCACCTTCTTCAGCTGTCAAAGCTGTTCTTCCTTCATCAAAACCCACCAGGGATTCTATCAGAGAACAGCATTTTTCAGCTGTTTTCGAAGATTTTTTAGAGGCCTTAAGTAAACTAACTATACAAGGGATGGGACCGGTTCCAAGAATGATGGTAAGATTGTCAGTATGTGTTGAGAGATTGGAAAGAGCCATTACAGCATCAACCTTAGCTTGCGTGGTTCCATGTCTAAGGATATCTACAAGCAGAGGAAAGGCACCAGATGCGCCTATAATCGGCTTGTTGCTGACAGAAGCAGATAGAGTGAGCAAAGCTGCTGTTGCATATTCTTGTAGGTTTAAGTTCTTACTTCGAAGGAAGCTAATAACTGGCTCTAAGGCACCTGCTTCCACAATGCTGATCTTATTCCTACAAAATAATATTAAAAACATTCTCTTCATTCAAATACCAAATTTTGACAAGTACAAGACCATAAAATTAAGAGTTTTCATGTAAAAAAGCAGCTGTAAAATTATAACACACAAAAATCGAACACTATAAGAATCATGTCAAATTTATCAATCAACGTTAAAATACTTCTATGAAAGATAAATTATGAAGAGGGAGTCCATAAAGATTAGTAAGGTGATAAGGTGATGCATACCTTAAAGTATAGTAAAAAATTAAAAAAAAATGTAATTAAACAAAGTAAAACATGTTATCTACTCTTAATTTCGCTTATGAAATTAAAAAATTACGTTTCATATGTATAAAAATCAACTCTTTAATTAATCGCATTGGGTTGCTTCATTTTAAAGGAAACAAAAATGTAGTTTCATAGATAACAAATTAAAAATCCGAAAAGGTAAATAATAGAAGGAAAAAACAATAATAATAATCCTCTTTGGGAGAGAAATACATATATTTCTTCATCACCAAACATATTCATGATGACAAATAACTTCAAAGAAAAGATAATAGAAAGAAAAGAAAGTTTTAAACAAAAAATGAAAAAGAAAGAAAAAAAATGTGAAAATAAAAAATAACAACCACACTTTTTAATCAAATTAATAAAAAAAAAATATAGACCTTCAACTAAAAAAGAAGGGGAAGAAGAAGCATGGCATCCGATTCTTTGAACAATAATAATCCCAAAATTCATCCTCACTTTATACCATAAATTGAAAAAAAAAGAAAAAGGAAATAACGTGATTCAACAACATAACCTTACCCAATTATTTTTTGGGTCGGTGACACGATTAGATATATATTAAAGAAAAAGTTTCAAACAAAAAAGTGAAAAAGAAAGAGAAAAATATGAAAATAAAGAACAACAGCCACACTTTTTAATCAAATTAATCAAAAAAGTATAGACCTTCAGCTGTAAAAAAATGGGATGAAGAAGCATCCAATTCTTTAGTTTAAACAAGAATAATCACTTTAAGCCATAAATTGAAAAAAAAAAGAAAGAAAATAACGTGATTCAACAACATAACCTTATCCATTTTTTTTTTGGTGGGTGACACAATGATAAATATTTTTTATTTTATAAAAATATTTGGAAATTTTCGATAATTATATTTCGATGCTCTGCTACGCATATTCTCTTAATAACCAATCAGCGATTAGATTTTTATATTAAAAAATAGAATATTTTTCCTCGAATTCCTGATCCCAAGGTGAAAAAATATTTTTATAAATTATTATAGCGTCTCATGTAAAAAAAGGTAAATAGAAACATCTAAAGCACAGAATAATCAACATGAAAATCAGTCCTTTACAAAATCAATTGCCAATAAAAGTTTACCCAAAATTAACTACACTAATTTCAAAAAGCTCAAATAGTAAAAATATGTTTTAAATAAATAAATGTTATGAAAGAAAGGACAAAAGGGTAAACGTACCTTTCGTCTTTAACGGCGAGGTTAAGGAGGGCGAGAAGGGCGGACTCGTGGTGTGACTCAGGTGAGTCAACTCGGAGCATAGAAACAAGTGGGATAACAGCTTCAGCGAGGAGCCGCCGACACCTTTGGGAAGTTTTGGTGAGTCGCCGGATTTCCTTAACAGCTTGCAGCTTGGAATCGGAATCGTCGGATTGGATTAACTGTAGAGCTCGATGGACGGCAGAGGTTGCTCCACGCGGCGTGACATCCACATCCGAGGAAGAAGAAGAAGGGCTGTGAGTGTCTGCGACGGTGTCCATCGGAAGAAGGAAGAGTAGATGGAGGAAGAAAAAGCAGAGAAAAATCTGCGTGGAAGCACAGAGAGAAAAAAGAATAAAAAGGACGGGTGTTTTTGGTTTGGTATTGAAACAGACCTCAAGCAACAGTTTAAAAGCCATGTAAAACTATATTTATATAAAAATATTAAAGAAAAAAAAAAAACTTTTTTACGCTTGCTGTTTTTAATAATGGAACTGGCAGTTGGTAATAATTGGTTGTTGTTGTTGTTGACGAGATGGATGGATCCAAAGAGTCCTGCCTTCCGAGTTTTTTCTCATATTTTAAAATCTTTATTCTTATTATTTTAAGTAAAGTATTTTTATAAAATTATAAATATAAGAAAAGTTACCATAATAATTAACAATTACATTCCAATATAATATTTCACTTAATAATTAATTAATAAGTTAAAATATAATTAGATAACCAAACTTATACAATATACATAGTAAAACTTAAATTTAAAATTTTAAGGTTTTAAGATTTTTTTCGTATCACCAAGTCAAGATATTATTAATTTTAATAAGATAATTTTTAGTCAACTAATATTTAAATTAATTAACATGTCATTGAAATTGACATATAAAAATTAATGTTTAAATTAATTTATATACGTAATGTTATTTTTAATCAAGTATTAAGAATAAAGATTTAAAAATATATTAAAAATAAAAAAAGAATTATTTTTAAATTTATTTTTTTTAAATGAGATATATTTAGATTTAGTAATTTAAAATACGATATTAATATTATATGAAAAAAAAAAAAAAAGTGATGTGTGTTAAAATTTTTAAAAAATTATACATGAATTTAACAAAAGTAAAAAATATTTAGTATTTTTATATTTACATAAATTATATTATAAATTTACACAACATAAATGTATAAATTAATAAATCTAGATTCATTAAATCATATCAATGCCATGTCAATTCCACTGTCATATTTTGATTTAATTAGACTCCACGTCAAATCTCTTTTCTTTGATATTTTTAAAATTTTTTATTTTTTTAAATTATTCTCACAATATTAAAATCTTATCAAATAATAATTAATTAATTAATTATAATTTTAAACATATAACTAGTTTAGATTTAAAAATATTTACATCATAAAAATTTTTCAAATGAAGTACAAGAATATTATTAATAGTTTAGATGGATATTTGAATATCTTTCCATCAATAAATCAAGTACAACTCTCCTTTCGTGGTGTCAAGAGTAAGAGAGTAACATATCACATATAATTATCAGATTAAAATTAATTAATTAATTAAATTTAAAATTATGTAAAATTTATTAAAATTTCAAGTAAAAGAGTTTTTGGATCGCATTTTAATTAAATTGAAAAAACTTTCAAATTTGAGTGTTTCTTGTCTATTTTCCATTTTTATTATAAATTTTTATTTTTTACTTTCCTACCAACATCGGCTGGAATTCAACCCCAACAACGGAAAACTTGGACTGAAGTCAGTGGCGGCGATGTCGAAAATTGGCTGCCGAAATCGGAAATAAAAGCAAAAGGAATTGGCGAAATTAAAGGACACCAATTTTTACCAATAATTTTGAAGAAGGTAAATTTTATTTACATCTCAAAAAATTTTTTACACTCATTTTTCCTCTACACAGCAATCAAAGCCTAGAAAACTTGGGGTGTGAAAAAGATTTTTTGGATGTATTTGGAACCAACCTTCGAAGAAAACAACAATTTTCTTTTTGGTAGGGAAAGGGGAGGTGTTATTTTAAATATCACGTTTTCTAAATTTTTTAAAATTTATTTTCGGGGACAATACCACTTTCAATCCCAACGAAGTTTCGTTTTCAGATCTTGCTGATCCATAACAGATGTAATCATTTTCTCTTAAAAATGATTTATTTTTTGCTAATCCATAAAGAAGATTATTATTATTATATTTCCTGGCCAAATTTTAAAAAAACATTTCAATAATAAAAAAAATTATGATTGATCGATCTAATATTTTTAAGATATATTATTTAGATTTTAAATTCAAATCATGTAATTTTTTTTATTTTTATGTTACAAATATTTTGTATAAAATAAATATGTATAGAATTATTCTTTTCTTTTTGAATTTTAATTTTGAGCAACAATAAAGCAACTCCTTCATTAAATTAATTAACATTAATTTTATATGAGTTAGATAATACGTAACCATGACCACATGCAAATTTGTAATTTTAATAAATCTTCTTAATTTTAAAAAACATTGACCGCTTAACAACTTTAAAAAAATAATTAAAAAATTTTGCAACGTGTGCGTACGTGTCTTTATATTGTCATACATCGACATTAAACAACAGGAAAATGTTGCTTTCAAAATTTTAATTTTGTTACAAGCAAATAATTCCTTAACTTCATTTCCAAAATTTCATGTTGCGACGTTTTTCATTGCTGGCAATTTTTCTATAAATTAGATTGGATTGAGTTTTGTTTGAAATAATAGGGGCAATTCTTTTGCTTACGGCTTTTAAAAAGAAGTAGAAAATGAATGTAAGAAGGGATTACTTGTAGTTTAAGTAATTATAGTTTGCAATGCTAATTCACCTAATCTTTCTCTTCTTTTATGTATACCCTTATCCAATGAACGAAGGAAAATATAGACAAAAAGTTAATTAAATTATTTGTTATTGGGCAAGTGGAATAGTGAATTACTTGAGCTTGACTTAAAAGGATTTTTTTTTTTTTGAAGAATTATCAAAAAGATATTAAAAGCATATTCGAGACCTTCTTATTCTTAGTCAATATATGAAGTATGAAAATGCATCCATCATTCTTGTTTTTTTATAATATTTTATTTTTATTTGTAATTTTAAGACTCAAATTTTTTATTTTTACCCTCTAAAAATATTTTAAGTTTATCCATATTGTGAATTGCTCGAAAAAAATTAAATTTGATAACTTAAAATAAAATACGATAACACAATATGAATACAATATAAAAATAAAATTAAAAAAAAACATAATTTAAAATTTTAATAATAATTATATTTGGGTTTAATAAAATTAAAAAATATATATATTTTATATTTTCGTATCGACATGAATTATGACATATAATTTTCGTATAAAATATAATATTAATACATAAATTATAATATTTTACATAATATAAATATATGCATCATTAGGTTATAAAATCAATGAATTATGCCACATGAGTACATGAGGTAAATGTCAACTCAAATAGTCAAACATGTCCATCTTTATTTTCTATTGAATTTTGATAGTAGTAGATAAAATAGATGAATTTGTAATATTCAAAAAAATAAATAAATCAAACAGCTGAGTATCAATGAATATAAATGAAAATAAAATGTTGTACAAAAATTATGGATATTTAATGTAATTTACTTAATAAACTAGTAAACTATTACTTAAAATTAATTTTTTTTAACTTGACACTATTTGTAAATTATTAATTAAAAAGAGTTATAGATATTAAATTTAAAATTTAAATTTACAATAATTTATAACTTATAAATTGGCACATGATTAATTGAACCAATGCTCATAATTACGTGACACCTTATTTTTGTTTGGTATACTTGACATCAAATAGTAAGTCTAATGTTTTAGATGCATAAATAATTAAATATAGTAATTAATTATATTTGAAATTAATTGTGAAGTACATAATTTCTCAAGACCTTTTATAGTTAATAAAGAAAGCACTTTCATTCAATGTATTACAATAAAGAATTATATTCCAACCTCTTTAACCTTTTTGGTTGAACCCCATCTTCCATATGCCACAACCCACAAGGGGACCGCTTTTATTCGGGGGCATGCTTAAAAGGCTGCATTAATTTGCTTTTAATCAGATTATTGGGAAATTTGAGATCAAATTTATAATGATTGCAGCAAATTGTGGCATTGGCTTAAATCATCAACTGAACAATCCCTTTTTTACTATTATAAACATAAAAGACATCCGATTGGCTACCAAATTTATGTGTTTGTGGGTGGTTTTCATTGTACTTTAGCCACATGTGAGTTCTTGGATTCTAAGTTCTGCATATAAAAAGTTGTCATTTGAAAAATAAAATAAATAAATAAATAAAAGGGAAAAAAATGCATTTCAATTCCTTTCTTTGCGTACAAGTGATTTCTTAGCAAGATTCATCTTTCACTCTAAAATTATCTTTTACAAATATATAAATTTAAAAGAAAGGTATTGGTTGGGGTGATTATAAATATGCAAGTGCAAGGTAATTGAAAAAGGAGAAAATGACGAAAATTTTATTGTAATTATTTGTTTACTACAATAAGGTTTCGAGCCTATTTATATAGAAATAAAATGTTATAAAATAAAAAATACAATTAATAGAAATAATGACTAAATCAATTCTTATAATAAACTAAATCAATATCTAATATTCTCTAAATTAATATTAAATCAATCTAGAATATTACTAAAATAATATCATCAATCTAAAATATTATCAGAATATTATTAAAATATCATTGACATCCCATCGTAAACTCGAGTTGGTCGCTGGTAGTGTAAAGGCCAACTTGAGTTTGGAAACTTGGACAAGAAATTGACCGAATGGATGTGATTTGATGAAGATATATATTTTTTGATCAGCACTAATAACATAAATAAATCAAAAAGTTTGAGCAACCAGATCGTGATAAATGAAATGACAATCAATTTTAATATGTTTCGTATGCTCATGAAAAACATTATTGTGAGCTATCTGAATGACACTTTGATTATCATAAAATATAAGAGTACTAAAGTGAAAAGAAATACACATATCCTGAAGTAGCCATTATAACCATAAAAGTTATGGTGTGGCATTTGTAAGAGCTTGATACTCAATTTCAATGCTAGAGTGAGACATCATAGTTTATTTTTTACTTCATTGAGAAATAAGAGAAGAACCAAGAAAGAAATAGTAGCCTATGGTAGAACAACGATCAATAGGATCTCCTACCCAATCAATATCACAATAACAATGCAATACCAATGAGGAACTAGAGAAAAAATATAAACCATGAAACATAGTAAATCGAGGAGCAGACAAAAATTAACTAACTAAATGAACAGCATAGGTAATTTCTACACGATTAACTATCAAGTATATGAGACTT